ACGAAAGCGGACAAGGAGGGGTGGCTGTCGTGTCTTGGAAAGGCAGTCGTGTCGACGAGCAGGGATACTGACGGCTTTACCGAGTACTTAGGGTATTGACGGTGGCTTTACTTGACTTTTCTCATCATCCATCTCAATAACGCGGAGGGGGAAACCGACACTGCTTCCCCCCCGTCGCGGCTATCCGCTCCTTCGTCGCTTTGTTCGGCTGCGGCTTTACTGGACATTCGCATCAATTCGTTCGTTCATCAATCGCGTTCATCAATCGTCGCGCGGCTCTTCCCTCAACAACTGCGCGCCCATCCCAAGTACTTCGCTCACCTCCGCCCCCTCGTCGAGCTGCTGCTGCCCCTGCAGCGATTCTTGAAGAAGGGTGAGCGCCGTGTGGAAAAAATCGTCGGCGTCCTCTCTCAGCACGTGTCGAACCGTCGCAGAACACGCCCCAAGCTTCACTAACGCGCGTACAATCAAGTAACGACGTTTTCGTCCACAACGCGCGTGCGCGGCGATCTCCAGCAAGCCCGTACGCGTCGCCGTCGTCGTGTTGGCGGCGATGCCGTGCTCGTGTTCCTCCACGGCTATGTAGGGCGGCATGTTTCGTGCCCTAAACCCAGCTAGCAAAGTGGTAACTCGCGCTGAGGCGCACCAGTCGGCGAGCACTACGAGATGCTCTGCCACCAAGAGCGCGGGGGCCACTCCGGACGTGGCTTCCTCCGTGCGGACACGGTCCAACAAAACGAAGATGCAAACCCTACTCGCCCACTGCCACGAGTGACAAGAGTGCAACAAAATCTTCATCGCCGTCTCGTTGCTTTTGTGCGTCCCCCCCGACGCCGCGATTCCCGTTAGGTGCTCCAAGAATGCTCGCTCGAAAACCCCACCGGTCAAGTTCAACGGAAGATGGAACCCCCCGCCGCCGCCCCCGTCCTCGATGAGGTCGCCGACGTGCCAAGTATGGTTTTGAGAAGAAGCACCACCCTGGTGCCGCCCTGTGATCTCGAGCGCCTTGTCGACTAAGATCTGCGTCTTCTCCCTCCTGACCTCCGTCAAGTCGCAGCTGGCGACGAGTAAGTGCAAGCAATCGTACGCGGGCTTCATCTCAGAGGATGAGTCGTCGTCGTCGTCGTGATGTGGCACACCACCACCCACCTGGTGGTGCACCACTCTCCTCCTGCTCGCAGCACAAACAAACTCGCACAAACTCCTCAACACGTCGTACTGCAAGAGCTGCAGCCTTTGCCCCGGACCGAGCGCGGCGTACTCGTACAAAACGGCGAAGTAATAGCTCGGCGACGTGAGCTTCGACGGGTGCGCGGCCGCGTCGTTGAGAACCTGGACGAGGCTGTGCAGCACGCGATCGACGAGCCGCGCCGCCTTCGCGGGTTGGCGTCGATCCGCCGTTGGATTCGCCGCCGCCGGAGAAGGCGATCCAGACGTCGTCGTCGCGGGGAGAACCCCGCCACCAAGAGATCCGCCGCCGCCGCCGCCACTCACGGTGGTGGTAAGGAGCAGCGCCTCCGCGGTCGCGCCGCCGCCGTCGCGGGTCACCGCGGATCGCAGCGCGGCGGCGACGAAATTCGCGAACGTTTCCCGCGCGTCCGCGCTCGGGCAACGCGCGAGAAACGCGGCGAGGTACCCCGGTCGGTCGCGCAGAAAGTCCAGGAACCACAGACACGCGGCCGCGGATCGCTCCAGGAGCGCGGCCACGGTGTCGCGCCACGCCATGAGACTCTCGCGCTCGCGCATCGAGTGATGCGCGCGGAGGTAGACGTGGCACAAAAACTCCGTCGCGATTCTCACGCTGAGCACCGCGCGCTCGTCCTCCTCCTCTTGCGAGCGCACGCGCGCGTCGGAACCGCCGCCGTCGCCTTCGTCTCCCCTGCCCCCTCCGCTGGGGCCGCCGAGCGCGCCTCTTCGCTGCGATTTTCGCGCGTTTCCGCGCTGCAGCGTGCTCTCCACGAGTTGCTGAACGAACGCGAAGTACTCCCGGCTGAAGATGTTCCCGTTGAAGACGAACTGAAGGTTTTGCGTCATGACCTCGCCGCGAATTTTGCGCGGCATCGAGGGGATGGGCACGATTTCGTGCCTCCCCGGTCTGATCGCCTTCTCCTCATCGTCCTCCTTCGCCTTCTCAACGATCGCGGGCGTGGCGACGCGAGACGGCGGAGGAAGAACCTCGTCGGAGTCCACCGGGTTGACGCGCTCGTAAAACAGCATGTACGCGCTGTTCGGTCGGTCGTGCTCGACGATCCGACCTCGGGCGTTTCCGACTTCGTCGTCGCTGCCGGCGCCGCCGCCGAGCGCGGCGATGTTCACCCCGTACTTACCCCCGAACGTGTCCGCCTCGAGGCACGAGACGTCGTACGGCTCGACTCTCTGATCGTCGTACACGTGCCATCGCTCGCCAATTTTCGCCTCCCCCGGCGCGGCGTCGTCGTCGACGTGCGCCCCGGGCGGGGCTTCTCTTTCGCGAATGTACGAGTAGTAATGACCCGCGAACGCGGTACCCGAGTGCACGACGACGCCGACGAGTTTGTACTGGTAGTGATCGAGCGGGTGAATCAGCTCGGGCACGGGCGCGGGCGCGTCGCCGGCCGTCTCCGCCTCCGCCGTCGCGGCCTCGCGCTCGATCCCTTCCACCGTGAACGGGGACATGTCGAGACGCATCGGAAACTCGAACCGATCCTTCACTTTCAGGCGCTGCATCGTCTCGTAATCGAACTCGAACCTCTTGAGGTGGACGCACAGCGTGTGCGGCAGCTGCTTGAAACAGATTCGCTTCACCGCATCGACGTTACACCCACACTGCTCGCAGTGCCACTGGTTATCCGCCTCTAAGAGCTCGCCGGAGACGTACGACGCGAGGGACTCGTTCAGATCGCGTTTGTTACGAATGTCGACGCTGATGTTCACGAAGTCCTCCTCGCGTTCGCTTCGATGCGCGGGGCACTTCTGGCATAAGACCTGATTGACAAACTTCCCGCCGAGCACGGCCTCCATCGCGCCTTTGACGCCCGGGGGAGGGTTCGTCGGAGCCGCGACCGCGCCGCCGTCAGTCCCCGGAGCGGACGCGATCGCGACCGCCTTTTTGAACTCGCTGTCGATCATATCCTGCAGACGCGTGAAGAATTCAAACCCGTCTTGGTGTTCGCGCACGTTGATCGGCTCGCCGTCGTAATCCTTGAACGCGCGCCAGAACCCTCTCGGGGCGTAGTGATCGACGTGCGAAGCCGCGAGGGACGCGATCATCATCTGAAACTGGTAGAAGACGCTGTCCTTCTGCTCGTCCTCGGTGACCGCGGTGGACGTCACCGAGAGCACCGCGTTTCGAAGCGGTTTCATCATGTACAACTGCTGAAACACAGAGTTCATGTAGCACGTCGCGCCCGCGTTCTTCAAGCCGACGTACCCGCCGGGGGGCCTCGGCGAGTTGATCGGCAGCTGCTCCCACTCGTTCAAGTCGACGCTGCCGCGGTAATGAAGGTTCATCAGCGTCTCCGTCACCTCGAGCATGTTTTCCGTGTCGTGCGAAGCGAGGTCGGCGAGCAGCTGAAACGCGGCTTGACGCGTGTTCGGCGTCGAACACACCGCGGTGAGGTGCTCCTCTAACATCTCCACGTCCTCGCCCACGCCAAACACAGACGCGACGCCGTTCGAGCTGACGGCCGGCACGCCGCCGCCCTCTCGCTCGGGAACTTCGCCGGTCAAGGTGACGTCGTCGCCGTCCGTGTCGTTCTCGTCGCGGTCCTTGTCCGCGTCGGCGTCGTCTGGCGCGCCGCCAGCGGCGGCGACGGTGTGACGGCGCACGACGTGCGTTGCTCGCCGGCCGTCGCCGCTGACCACCGGCGCGGGCATCCCCGCCAAGCGAAGCACCTCCGCGGATGGAAGGAGCATCGGAACCGCCTCGGGGAACAGACATCTGAACATCAACACCTGCACGAGGCCGAGACCGGCGGCTTTGGACCCGACCGATCTACGATCGAGGCGCTCGACGAGGCACTGAATAAGCCGTAATCTGGACTGGAGGTGCGTGTCCGCGTCCGCGATCGCGGGGGGAGACACCCGAAGCGCCTCGACCTCGCTCGCGAGGAGCGTTTCCGCTACCGCGTCGCACTCGCTGTTCTCCTCCGGGGAACCGCCGCTGTCGCGAATCACGAGATTCAGCAAAATGAAGAACTCCTTGCACCGCTTCGGGTGCGCGTCCGCGTCGACTCGCGCGGCTAACAAACGCTTCAACATTCCGGGTGGAGGCGACAGCACTACTCGTCCGTCGCCCTGCGTGATGAGCATGAGCTTTATCATCATCGCCATCATCCTATGGCGGACGCTCTCGAGCGGTGAACGAATCACCAAGTCTCGAAGCATGGACGAAAACAACGGCTGCTCCAGGAGCGTGACGGCGCCGTTCGACCCCGAACGTTTCAAGCACTCGAGGAGGAGATCGATCGCTTCAAACGACAAAAACACGTCTTCGCGCTGAACCCCGCCGGCGGCGTCGTCGGCGTCCTTCACGACGCCGTCCTCGTCCATGGCGTTATCATCGAACAGCTCCCACCCGACCTGAAGACCCGTGCTCATCGTGTACGCGAGCCGCATCAGCGTCGGGACCGCCTCGATCGCGAGCGGCGCCGCCGTCGCGAAGGTCGCCGCCGCCGTGCCCTTGGACGGCACGCACGAAGCGTCGACGGACGACTCGGACGCTTCCGCGGCCGCGAGATCTTCATCGCTCCACTGTTCGCGTCGACTCCCCGTCGGCGTCGCGACGGACATGCCTCCGATCGCGCCGCCGAGGGAACCGAGCGACGCCTCCGTCGTGCCCTTCGCGGAGTCCCCCCCGCCGAAGATCGGGTGCGACTGCTTTAAAAGCGAAAGCGCGGAGGAACAGAGCGCGCATCGCATGGACGCATCGCTCCACGCCGCCGCGCCCGCGTTCGCGACCGCTCTGAGGCCGGCAGCGTCGTCGTCGACGCCGTCGTCGCTCGTCGCGCGAACGCCCGTCGAGCCCGGGGGGAACACCGCGAGGATGTCCCGAGTGCACCCGAGCGCGGAGAAGGACGCCCTGAGGAGTCGCGCGGTGTCGTCGACGTCGTCGTTGTTCACGGGGGAGAGTAATCCGTCGAGAACCTGCACGGTGTACACTAATCTCGCGGGTGACTGGGATAAGAGCTCGCGAAGGCGCGCGCGCGCCATCGCCACCGCGCGCGCCGGGTCGATCGCAGCGGCGGCAACCGCGGCTTCGACGGCGGAGGACTCGCCCGCGGCGACGACCGCCGCCGCGGCCGTCTCCGCCCCGGCGGCGACGTTACCCCCCGCGAGCAGCGCGCACAGCTCAACCTTGATTTGCTGCTGCGTAGGAAGCGACAATAAAATCTGCTGCGCGGAGCTCTGCACGCTGCCGCCGTCGCCTTGCGCCCCGCGAGACTCCGCGAGCTTCAAGAACACATCGTACGCCCCGGGTTGATTCGCGAGCAGCGACCGCGGAAGCGATGCCGGGGAGGAAACCCCAAAGTCATGGCGCGGCCTCGCGTTATCGGGGGACAACAGCTGCACCTGCATCCTGAACACACTCGTGAACACGTCGTGACCGCGCGCGATCGTCTCGCGCATGAGCCAGTTATCCACTTCGACGATCTTTCCGCAGAAGATGAGTCGGAATCGGTTCGAGGGAAAATCAATCTCTCTCGAGATGTTCTCTCTGACCGTCTTCACCAGCTCGTGCGTGTTGGATGCCAGCTTAAACCTGCTCATCTTGATGTTCTGCGGCGGGATGATCTCGATGGAGATGTCGTTACCCGGGAAGGTCGCGCCGTGGGGAAGCGGCGCACCCGGCATCATGCCGCCTAACTCTGTCTCCAGAATGAGCGCGCGCGCGATGCGAATGCATCGATCCGCGCGCTGCTCCGCCATCTCCATCGCGACCGCGTCGTCGCCGGCGTCGTCCATCGCCTTCGCCGCCTCGCGGAGACGATCCAGCGTCGACGCGAGGAAGTCTCGGTGCAGATTCGTGACGTAGTTCTCGTCGTTCACCGCGAGGTCCGTGTGCAGCTGTATGAGAAGATTCAACGCGTCGTCGGCGACGGCGTCGTCGCTCGTGTCGAGCGAGATCCTCCACAGTTGATCTAATCCAACGAGATCTATATCTCGCGCCGAGATTTCTTCCGCCCGGTGATCGGTGACCAGTACCCGCCTGCTGCCGTCGTCGCCGTCCTCGTTGAGAAAAACCAATTCCGGGGCTTCACTGTCATCCTCTGGGAACACGAGCTTGCCCGAGTCCAACCCGGCTTGCATGAAGAACGTTCTAAACGTGGACCAACCCGACTTCGTCATTTTCTCCGCGGGTTCGTGTACTAATCTCGCGCCTAGCAAGTGAAGCACGGAGTCCTCGGTCACGCTGCACGGAGCCTTCGTCAGGAGCTTTTTGATCCACTTCAAACCTTGGTCTCTGAACGTTCGTGGCGCGTCTGCGGTAGACGTCGACGTCTCCGCGACCGCGGTCCACATTCGATCTCCCATCGCCGGCTCGATCTGCATCTCGCCGTTTTTCAAGACGTACTCGATCGTGTCTAGAAACGCGATGTACGTCTGAAAGTAGTCTTCCAATGAAATTCCGTGAGGTGCGTCCGCGCCGTCCGACCACGCGGCGGCCTGGTAACGCTCAAGGGACGACACCAGAAGCTCCGTGAGGTTGTTTTCCTCGTCCACGCGCCTGAGCCAGTCCCTGCGCGAAACGTGTTGCTCGCGCGCGACGGACGCTTTGCGCTTCTTCTTCAGCATCCTCTTACCTTTCGCGCCGGCACCGTTCTCGGCATCACCACTTCCGTTCGGGTACGCCGTGTCGTGCATCAGGATCGCTTTCGAAAGCTGGAGTGGAATCGCGAGATCCGACGTCGGCCCGTTCCTCAGATCCTCCAGGAGTTGCCGACGCAGATACTCTTCTTTCCTCACGATCTCCATCCAGTCGTAGTGCCCGAGAACGTGCGCAAAAGCGTCGATCATCTCCAGCCCGGCGGCGCCGGTCTCCCCAGCGTGTACCATCCTCCACAGCAGCGCTAAGAGTCGTTCCGCCATTTGCCCTCCGTTATCCCCGCGCGCGAGCTTCTGAATCATCTCGGAGAGTTTCCCGCTATCCGCGGCGGTCATCCCGCCCCCCGCGCTCTCGAATCGTAAGAAGAGCTGGTCGAGCTGATCGCCGTTGAAGTGCCACGCCAGAGAGGTGAGTAAGTCGTACACGTTGTGCTTCACCTCCTCGAAGGTGTCTTGCTTTTGCGTGATGTCCCAGAGCATGTCCACGTGCGTCTCCGCCAGAGCGTCTTCCTTGAGTAGAAAACGAAGCACCGCCGCGACCTGGTCGACGTACTGCTTGTGGTGCAGATATACCGGCCTCAAGACGTGAGGGAGGACCTTCTTCATGTCGAGCCATTTCACCGCGGTCTGCATCGCGCTCGCGCTCTCCTCCGTTCCCAGCAATTTCGAGTTTGACGCCGTCGCGAGCATGAGGTTGATCTCTCTCAACGCGATGAGCTGCATGTTAAACGTTGATATCGACAGCATGCCCTCGACCATCGCTCGTTCGACGCGTGAGACCCGCTTTTCAGCCTCGGGATCGCCCACGCATGCGGAGAGCACCTTTCGAAGACTCCTGAGAGCGCTCCCGAGGTGCAAGTACCGCCGGTCGCGCTCGCTCGGGCTTGACCCGACGAGGCTAGAATCCCCTCGCGTCACGATGTCTTGAAGATGATCGAGCGCCACTTGCGCGTTCTCTTCGAACCGCGCGAGGAGCTGGTCGTCGAGCACGATCGCGCATCTCGCCATGGCCGTCATCACCGCGTCGAACGTTCGAAGCGTGACGCGCGTGGGGTCGTGCAGCATTTCGAGAACCGCGTCGAACCCGCCCGCGTTTCCAAAATGATCGATCACGAGACACAGCCAGCGATGAATGATCTCGCCTCCTTCGTCCGGCGTCCCTTGATGCATCGCGTCGTCCTCGTCCTCGTCCTCCTCCTCCTCGTCGTCCTGGTCGATGCGTATGGGCGCGTCGTCGTCGAAGGTGCCCGCGCGCGCGTTCATTTTCCGCGGCGCCGCGCGTTGAAGCGCGGCGAACAACCGCGACCCGCCGACCGCGGCGAACGCGTCTGCCACCCCGGGATGCTCCCTCGGTATCTCGTCGTGCCTGTGTTTCTTGTAAAAGTCCGCGCGGCGATCGAACGCGAGGGGCAGCGCCTGCAGCAGATGAAGCAAGTCCTCCTCGGACTCCTCGTTCGCGGCGTGGACGTTCGCCAGCTTCACCGCGACGAGCTCGCCGAGTTTCACTCCGCATTCGAGGATGTTCCCGTGCACGTTGTCGTTCCAGTTGTACAGATCGGCGCCGGACATGCACTTCTCGAACGTCCCGGGGATGAGCTCGCGGTACAGTTGCCGCATTTCGGAGCTGCATTTCGGAGGGAGGGGGGAGGGAGGGAGGTGGGCGTCGTCGTCGGTTTTTGATGTGTTCGAGTTCGAGCGCACGAGGAGATCCCTGGACGGATCTCGAGGAAAGGAGAGAGAAACACCCTGGTGCGCACCTGGTCTCCTCGACGCCGTCTTCGCTCGCTCTCAAGGCTGCGCTCATGCAGTTAGAGAGCTGCGCCGGATACACCGTCCAACTCGGAAGCCGCCTGAGCCCTTCGAGAACGAGCAAGTGCTCTTCAGCAGGATACGTGCATGCCGGGTCGCATTCGCTCTCCGCGTTGTCCATGTTCTCGTTCTCCGCGGCGTTATCCTCCATGACGCCGATGGGGTGTCAGGGCGTTCGACCCACCCCTGAAAGGTCGCCCTCGCGAACCCGGATCTGACGCGACGCGGGGGGGCGCCCGCCCACGCGTTATTTTTTCAAGGAGGCCAAAATATGCAGCCTTTCGCGGCGCTTTCAAACGTGCTTTCAAACCTCGGTTAGTTTAGTTATCGTGGCTTTCAATGTCAGGTTTCAATGTCTGTCACGCTGTCGACTGGTCAGATGCTGGCACGCGAACAGAACTTCTCCGCTATCCGCTGATCGTCTTCGCGCAGGATGGCGAAGCAGACGGGCGAACTCACGATCGTGGAGAGACAGGTGCGACGGATGATGGACGCGCGAGCGAAGGAGCGGGAAGAGGAGCTTCGACTCGAGAACGACGCGAACGCGCTGCGAAAGGCTGGCGAGGCGCGATTGCGTGAACTCGAACTCGACGGCGACGACGACGCGGACGCCGCGAACGTTCCCGTCGTCGTCGAGCTCAGAAAGATGACCTCGATCGAACTGGGCATGGCTTACGCGTGGATGCGAAAGGACGAGATCGAGTACGGCGACGACTCGACGAAGTTCTGGAGCAACGCCGCGGGTTCTGTGCAGGAACTCTTCGAGGAGACGCACGCGCCCGGGGACGAAGCGTTGCTGAATTCGGTCGAGCCGTGGCCGAAGCTCCTCGGCGCGTTCGCGAGAGGAAAACCCGTGCCCGTCGGCTTTGCGATGCTGAAATCCGACGGCCTGACCGTGGAGGCGTGTGGGGTCCGGCAGAGCATGCGTCGGCTCGGGTACGGGAGACAAATCGCGATGTTATGCATCGAACGCGCGAGAGTAGCGGCGGCGGCGGGCGCGGGACCGCCGGTGTATCGCATCGACGCGGTGCCGAGCGCTGTGGCGTTTTGGAAATCGTTAGGGTTCAGGCCAAGCAAGGAAGAGGACGACGCGTACACGCGCGTTATGCGGAAGGTCTGTGGTGACGTGAGTTTGGAATTAGCTTTTACCGGAGTGGTGAATGCCCAGACGAAGATGGTTGCTCCAGTTGCTCCAGAAGAGTCATCAGATTCGGATAGCATCTAGCTTATTAGTGCTTTAGTACACTGTAGTTTCTACGTAGCTACTTTTAAATTACCGTCGCGATCGTGACAGTCGACTCGTCAAGCTCGCTACGATCTTCAATGTCGTCCCCGGGGTGAGAACTTGCTCCGGCGCGGCGACTTGCTCTGGCGCAGGCGATGGCGCCTCTGCCCGGCCCTGGGAATGAGCAATGTCATTCGCATCCGGCCATCTGAAAGCCGCGGGCGCGGAAAAACGCGACGGCGCGACCGCGACCGGCGTGTTGTTCGTACTCGCGAACGACGGGCGGGCGGGCGCGGTGTGCGAGGACGACGCATTCGCACTGGGCCATCGGTACGGTGATGTCGCCACGAGGGACGCCGCGTCGCGCCACCGCGGACGCGCGGACGGCGGAGTTACCGCCGGCGTCGGCGATGCCATAACGGCTTCCGCGCGTCGCGTATCTGGACCTGCGTCGAGTTTTGCCTTTTCGAGCTCGTCTTCGGTGTCGCGCAGTTTGTTCTTCGCGGCTTCAGACTCGCTCGCGCGCTCGCGTAAGATTTCGACCTCGTCCTGCAGCGCTCGGATGCGCGCGCCGACGTTCTCCGCCGCAGAATTCGCGTCCGATTTGATCTTCTCGAGCTCGATAGCCGCGGCCTCGAGCGCTTTCGCGGCGAGAATTTCTTCCTCGCGGCGGCGCTCGAGTTCTTCTTCTTGCGCGCGAATCTGCGCGGTGCCCTCCTTTCTGGCCGTCGCGGCTTCTTCGCGAATCTCCTCGAGCTCGCGCTTGTTCGCCATGAGGCGCTCGGTCGCTTCCTCCGCGGCCTCGACCGCGGCCTCGCGCTGCTGCTCCGCGTCTCGCGCCTTCTCCGAGGCGTCTCGCGCCTTCGCGAGCTCTTCCAGCACGGAACGCAGCGCGACGTCCTTCTCCTCGGCTTTCGCCTGCAACGCGTCCACGCGCTCGCTCAGGGATGAAATCCTCGCCCTGCCCTCGACCGCGGCGGATTCCGCTTGCTCGCGGACGATCTCGAGTTTCTTCGCTTCCTCCGCGGCGGCGGCCGCGACCGCGCGCGCTTCGTCGAGCTGCTCCTGCATGTTCCGCACGTCTTTGTCTTTTTCCTCCATCATCGTCATCAGCTCCTTGACGCGCTCGTTCACGTCGCGTACACGCTTCCCGCCCTCTTCCGCAGCGCTCGTCGCCGCGACGCGAATGCTGTCGAGCTCTTTCGTGAGTGTATCCGCGTACTTCGCGGCTCCCGCCTCGCCGTTCTTCAACCGCACGCGCAGGTCGTCCGCCTCCGCTTCCGCGGCGTCTCGCGCGGATTCCAATTTTTTCGCCGCCTCGGCGGCGACGACGGCGGCACCTCGAGCTTCTTCCAACGCGTCTTTCATACGCTTCATGTCGTCGTCCTTCTTTGTCACGAGCTTTTCGAACAGTTGCACGCGCTCCTCGATGTCGTGAATCTTCGCGCGGCCCTCGACCGCGGCGGTCTTCGCCTGGTCGCGGATTTTTTCGAGCGACTTCGCCTCTTCGGCAGCCTTGTGTTCCGCTTCTGTCTTAGCCGCGGCGGCAGCCTCGAGCGCGGCCTTCTCTTCCGCTGCCGCTTCATGCTCCGCTTCCCGCTGGGCTCGCTCCTTTGCGAGCCGCTCTTCTCCCGCGATGCGCTCCATTTCAGCCGCCGCCAATACTTGCAACGCGATTTCCTCGGCCTCCGCCGCTGCAGCATCCGCTGCCTCCAACTCCTCTTGTTGGATTTCCAATGCCTCTCGCGCTACTCGCTCCGCTTCCTCTTCCTCGATCTCGGAATCTGCGGCGCGGATTTCCGAAGCGTCCACCCTATGCGCCGCCAGTGTTTCTCTCCTCGCAGGAGTTCTCTCTCCTTCTGCGACGTTACTCGCCGTTGTCGTCGCGGGTTCCCGCGCCAACTTTTTCTTCGTCTTCCTCCGCTTTTCTCGCTTGTGATCTTTCTTTTCGTTCGAGCGATACTCAGAATACGTGTTCGGCGTCACGAGCTCCTCGTGTGTCATCCGAAACGACGCGTGCGGGGTCATCGGGCTCGCGCGCGTGAGCTCGGCGGTGACGATTCGTAACGCGTCATCGTGCTCGCGTTCGAGAGCTTCACGCTGCTCTCTGAGCGCTGTCTCGAGCTCAGCGGCATGAGCGCCCTTCAACCGCGCCTCGACCTCGGCTGCGGCTGCTAGCGCTTCAGCATTCAAGCGTTCGATCGCCGCGGCTTTGTCTGCCTCCGCGGCGGCGAGCACAGCCTCGATCGCACGATCGCGGTCAGCCACCTCCAACGCGCGTTGCTCTTCGACTCGTTTCCTCTCAGCCGCCGCCACCGCGGCGGCGCGTTGTTCAGCCTCGACTCGGTCTCTCTCAGTCGCCGCCGCGGCGGCGGCGGCTGCGAGGAAACGAGTCGAAGAGGCTCGCGCGTTCGCGGTGGCGGAGGGGGCTGGTGCGATCGAGGCTGTGGTCGCCGCCGCGGCGTCGGAGGTGGCTGCGGGGGTTGGTCGCATGGATGCTGTAGCGGCCGCCGCGGCGGCCGAGGTCGCGGCGCGGATCGAGCGCGCGAATGCTGAAGCGCTAGCAGCCGCAGCCGAGGTCGAGGCGCGGTTGAAGGGCGCTCATGCCGCTGAGCTCGAGACAGCGCTCAGAGAGCAGCGTGAAGCTCTCGAACGCGAGCAC